TTGCCAACTACTTTTACTACGACTATACTACTATTAAAAGTGATGGTAGCGCGATGAATGACAATACTAACGTATGAGACGAGAAAAATAAAGAGACAAAAAATAATGCATCGCCGAAACTTATTATTATTCTTAAAAATTTCACTATGTTTTCCCTAAAATATTACATTTTTAACATCATTCGAAATGATTGGAAAAGATGTTTATTCGTGTGGCAGTATGTTAAAGGCACCATGTCTCATATTTTTTTACCAAGCGCGAGCCACGATATTGTAGTTCAAGTTTGCGTGTAATCAAGGCCATTGAAAAATTTGTTTAAAAATAGGTAGAGAAAAGTAATCGAACGTATCACTTTTCCATGTTAAAGGTGTTAAAACTGTTAGCGTTTCTTTTATTGTTAGTAACGTCATCTTACTCTGCATGCATTATTTGTACCAATTTGTTGTTACGCAACATAGTACTCAAAGTTCGAAAATAGCGATCGACAATAGAGCTGGCAGCATATTGATTCTTCCTTTCATTCCTTATTCTCTGATAACATGTATCGAATTCCCTACTAAACTTGTTTTGAATGACTATATATCCGTTGTCCTAATAAAACTAATAAAGATGAACTCCTGTAAATACTACTGTTTATTTTCATTGGCTTCATGATTATAATAGTAGTAATAGTAGCAATGATAATGTTGATGACGTGGACAACGATGATTATTATGATAATAGTCATAGTAACTATAATGAAATGATGATAGTTGTGGTAAATAGGTAGTAAATAGTAGCAGCGGCAGTACTAACGACGATGACGGTAATATAATATTATATGATATAGTATAGTAATACAATAGAAATAATAATAATAATAATAATGATGATGATTGATGACAACATTACAAACAAAATAATAATAATAATAATAATAATAATAATAATAATAATAATAATAATGATAGTAATATAATAATTATTTTAATGCTTGAACCGCAACGAAAGCAGAGAATATACAATCCTTTTTCTAGAACTTGTACGTTGCGACAGTGCTGCGACCTAGCGAAATATTACTACGCACAAAAAAAACCGAGTGCGTTTCGTATTCTTTTTCAAGCGATATCATATATTATTATACTTATAATTGATACTCTTTCCGAGCGTGGCTAGGTCATGATAATATATTCAGTAACTATAAACAATTGTTGCACTATTTATTTTTCACAAGCTTCGTCATGACCTCACATTATATCAATAAACGATTAATGTACACGAACTTTTTACTTGTCACACTGTATTAGGGACAACGTCATGAAGATCTATAAGACCACCGCATGGGTAATTTATAATTTCGATATACATAAAACAGTCTTCTTTATCGACATCCGTTTTCTTTTTTTTCCCCATATCAATGGTACTCTAGAAAATGTAGCGACGGTCGTGCAATATTTTTGTCGAACTACGTTTTTCCGAAAAAATCTGGCTTTTACATAATCGTATACCACAGACCGCCGTCGTGTCCATATACAGAAATACGAGTCTTGTGCACATTTATTATCTTCATATTCAATGTAATTAATTGTTAGGGGCGATCGATTAACACCGAGTAGCGATACGTTGTGCGTACCAGTCCAATCATTTGGCTCTCTCGATTCCGATTGCACGTTGAATTAAGCAACGCGTCGCAATTCCAACATTGCAATGTTGAAACAATCGGCAGAAACCTTTTCCTTAGGACGAAGCCACCAACCTGTTCCCGATGTATCGACCGTATTTATTTTATCGTGTATTAGTTTTTTTTTGTATTTTTTTTTCGACGTTCATTGCAGTATTGCAATTAGGTTTGCAATACTTTTTCGAACAAAAAAAGGAATGTTCGATACCGTGATTTGTTCGTTGAATTCATGAAACGCAACCTCGTCACAGTTAATTCAGAGAAGCATCGGTGTGTACAATGACAATATCACCTATTTTTCTTTCCTTTCATGCGCCATCATTAAATTATTCTAACTAGACATGGCCAAGTATCGATTACGACTCCGAAGTTCGCGAGCTTCGTTAAACTGGCAAATACAATATCATTTAGAGCATCGTCTTTTTCGTGTACGAGAACAAGTTAATCGTTATCATTTACCTTTCAATCGACGTCATGTCAGTGTGTGATCAAAAACTGTATTTTTCAAATGGTAGAACGAACGGTCTTTTTCACATTCACTCATTTTGTTGATTCACTTCTTCCTTATTGTCGTTATCTTGTGGATTTACGTTTGGTTTGGCGCTTCCTTGCTGAGCACCGGAACCATTGTCGTTGATTTTATCATTGTGGGAATCCGTTTTTTCACTGGTATCCATTTTGACGTTTCCTGAGAGAAACGATTAAGATAAGAAAACGCGTTTTAAATCGTTCGTTACTTTTTTAACGAGCGATAACGCGTGGAAAACAAACCTTGAGCAGAATAATAGTGCTGTTGTATCTTCATGTTACGTTGCTGCTGCTGTTGCTGATGCAAATTCGGTCTGTGACGATTAATTTGAGTTTGTTGCGGTTGTTGTTGTTGTTGCGACGGCATGCAGTTAGACTGCTGCTGAGTAGGATTGTTTGGATTTGGGCCTGGCGTGAACGGAACGACTGGTCTTTGAATCGGTGGCGGATATCGTTGTTGCGACGGTTGAATACCAGCGTGCGGTGGCATACCCATACCACGTACGTTTTGCTGTAAAACCTGTAATTTAGCTAATGCTAGTCTCGCAATAAGGTATTTTTGTACTTTAATTACATTACAAATATCGATTCTACCAAATTTAAATTACATTTCCTTCGACTGAATTTTTCGTTCTTTATTTCTTCGACTTAAGGTCGCAAATGAAAATTCTTCTGATGTAAATGTATACTATTCTGTAAGTACCAATAACAAGGAACATTTAATAACTCTGTGCTCGTGAAATCCAGTATTCGTTAATCGTTAGTGATGTTTTGATTAGGTGTAAGAGCGATACATACATAGTTACTGTAACTGCTTACCAGAGCAGATTGACTAACTCCCTGATACTGTTGATACTTGTGATGTTGCGTGGGACTTGGCTGTGGTTGCTGAGATGAGGATTGTTGTTTACAATTTCTCGACTTGGGAGATGGTATTTGAGGCGCTGCGACAAACGTTACGTATTATTCTACGTTCCGAACAAGATCTAGACGAAACACACCGAACTTACTGGAACTGAAAACTGATCCAAGGACGTCTTGCTGATTTCCCGACGGGCTCTTTAATTGTCTTTGCTGTTCCTGTGGTTGATGCTTGCTAAGAAAATTGGGTCCCGCGTTTGCCGGCCCCGGAAGGCCTCCCGTAGGATTGCGATATTGTTGAGCAGCCGCGGCAATTTGTAATCCAGAACTGCTTAGAAAGCCAGAACTGAAGTTTTGTAATCCAACAGGGGTAGCGTTCCCGGTTGCCAAACTTTGATTGTGTTGACCGAATCCCTGCAATCCGTAATGAGTGCCGGTCTGTTGTGTAGCACCTCCTGGCTGATAAAAACCTGTTTGCGAGCCGGGGAATACATCTGAAAATGTGATTAAATCGACGTACAAAACCATGGAACAAAAAGACAATTTACACGCTGTAAAAGATCGCGCGTGTCCAAGATTTGATACTTACCAGGTGGAGGTGCGGTATAATAACTATTGGCCGAGGCTTGGACATTTCGACCACGTCTCTGTACCAACTGGGAATTGCCCATGTAACTAACACTCACGTCCAGTACTTGATTAGGATCGTACTGTATGTACGTTAGCTAAAGAAAAAGAGGCCGTAGTAAATTATACAGTAAATTACACGATAATTTAATCAATTTTAATGATATCATCGAACATAGTTGATACATACGGAATTTGGTTGCGGAACAGATGGCGCCTGAAAATGTGGAGCTTTCGTTCCGATAGCACCGATAGGTTGTGAGGATGGCTTTACGCTTGCCGACATCAAAGAATTTGACGAGGAACTGATGAGAACTGTATTCGGATTGTTACTGAGCTGTTGGTTTTGTCCGAAAGGCGGAGCAGCAGCTGCGGTCTGCGAAAAATGAACGTTATTATATACGATACTATTATATATTATAGATTTTCGTGAAATAAAGAATACTAACGATGCGATACTGGGAAATATTGCTTTGATACATATCCGGGGTAGGTGCATTTGCCGCGTGTGGCGGCGGTGGTGCAGCTTGCTGCAAGTAGACGTTTTGCTGGCTGAACGAGCTTTGAAGAGATGGCGCGTATGGTGGATACTGCGTAAAAGGAGACCGGCTCTGATCCAACTGAAATGCTCCGTAAAGACCTCCTGCTTGTGCTGGTAGTTGACCAGATCCTGTATTAAATAACACGGCTGGCGGAGAGGGTATAGCAGACATGCTGCCGTACTGTGCTGCTTGAGAGCCGGGATATTGTGGAAATTCCTAAAACAAACAAAAATGCGGTTTAACTATGCTACAGCGATAACACAAACAATCGTATAATAAATATACGAAAACCTAGAAATATCCTTTTACAATAACTGCACCTGATAATTTATACGAGAGGGTTGTCCGGTGGAATTAAACGGAGGTGGGCTCAATGGTCCTTGATGACTAACAGGTGGGTGACCGATAGGACTTTGACCTGCTCCGATAGGACTTGGACCAGGAACAGTCGAACCAGATTGACCGCTACTGCTACCCGAAGATTGTTGCTGCGGCTTCACCTGCGGGGGAACCAGCTGCGCATCAGGCAAAGAGTCAGCATCTTCCCACAGGGGACATGGTGTTTCGTTATTTAGTTTTCTATTTACATCACTATCAACTGCCGTTTTAATTGATGCTGACCGAATGACGCATATTTCGAGAAACAATTTTGTCTTCGTTAAATCTTCTTTCAAACTCTGGTGAAAATAGTTAGGTTCATCGCTAACCGCGTAAGCTTAATAGAAAAAAAGAGAAACTAAAAAATAGCGAGGTCGAAAAAAAAGAC